GTGCTGAAGCTGACCAGGCTGTTTGCTGCAAGGAGGCAAATTGCTGGGAGGCAGAGGCCGACGGATGGGAGCAAGCAGGTAGGCAGGGCTTCGGCAACATTCGCAGTATAAGACACACAGACATTCCCACCCACTTTTTGGGCGGGTTGCGTCTTATACACTGAAAAATACGGTAAATAGTGCGTTCAGTTCTATGCATGCCTACAAGCAACTACCTAGAAGAATGTTCTTTAGAGATAGGGGGCAATTGAAAAGGCTTGTCTCTTACCAGTTCCAATTGGAATCGGCCAACTGGAAGTGCTTATCCCTCAGGCAGTCCAAAAAATTGTGCAATTTTTGATAGTACCAAATGCCACAGAGAAAGGCACTTCCTCCATCCAGGTCATGATGAAGACATTCACTACATCAGGGGTGTCAAATTCAATTTCATTGAGGGCCACATCAGCATTATGGTTGCTCTTAAAGGGCAAGTAGCCATGTCACTGTGACTAGGTGGGCATGGCCTGGTGGATGTGATCGGCTTGATGCTCTCACCGGGCAAGTCTCCAAGCTTGGAATGGATGTGTGCGTGCATGTGCACCACATGCCAAAGGAGGCGTTTTCTCCCAATCCCAGACATCATTGGCATTTCCTTGTCCAGTGCTCCAAAGGGAATCCTTATTTCTAATTGTGTGTGGTAAGGATGCTGGGTTGTTGGTGTAGCCTTTCCTCATGCAGCTCCCCTGCCACCCCCTCCTCTTTCCCAGAGATCTGTCAGATTTCAGATAGGTAGCTGTCCAGTCTTTTCTTAAAAATTGCCAATGATGAAGTACCTGGTGATACTTATTCAGTTATTTGTACTTACAAAAGAAAGCAAATGCCGTTCTGACCCAGCCTTAGCAGAACCAATAAACAGACCAAGGGTGAAATTCAACTGGTTCTATAGGGCTTGGGTGAACCGGTAGTGGCGGCTGTAGGAAGTTCTGCCCACCTGCGCAGATGTCATGACGTTGCTTTTTTGCGATGATTTTAAGCCTCTGCGCATGCAGCACATGCACATTTGCGAACCGGTAGGGAAGGTAAGTGAATTTCACCCCTGAAACAGACTCCTTCTCCAGAAAAACCCTTCTTTATTTAGCTACTGTGAATTAATGGCATTCACACACCATAAAATCCAGGCAATAATCCTTCAAAGGGTTAACTGCAATAACAGTTATCAGTTTATCAGTTCCTTGAGATAATTGCCAGGCTGGGAGCTTCCAGCCAAGGCCTGTAAATTAAGTTCTAGCAAGCAGTCTCTGAGGCACAAATCACGATGAACAAATCTTCTGAAAGAAATCTGAACGGTTGTCTCCTGCAACTACCCCTCCCCTTTCCTTCTATTTATTCCCCAGGCAGGGAGGGGCCATTCAGCATCCAGGTGTGCCTTTCTTTCCAAATCAACTCCTTGTCCTTAGTTGTTCTCCTCTCCTAACAGCTCTGCGCATGCACACATCTGGAGCAGACCCCAGCTGTTCTTCCTTCCCACTTATCTCCATCTCTGAAGGCAGCTGGGAAATGTTAGATGGCCCTGTCTCTATCTCTGCTTCCAATGCAGAGCATCCATCAAAGCCTTCCCCAGACTCCAGAACTGGCCCAAATTCCTCTCCAATCTTCTCATCGTCCGAGTCCACCACCAGCTCTGCTGGCAGCTGGCAGGCCACAACAAATGCAAGGAAAGGTAAAGGGCCCATATCTCTCAGTAATGGGGGGAGGGCAAGGGTTGCTGAATCCCATGATGGAACCTTTTTCACAGCAGCAGGAATGCTATGGAGAAGGGGAGACGGCAGCTTGATCTTCCCGGATGACAATATTGGAAGGAGTGAACCTGGAGGAATCACCCCTATATGGTTTGGAGAGACCATATAGAGAGAGAGAATCCTGCAAGTATCCTGACCCTATCCTGTTCCTAACCTTCCAAGTGATGGGGAACTGCTTCCTCTGCATCTGGACACTCATAGCCTCCGGGCACTGGGTGATCGCCCAAATGGCATTGCCTGACCAACCATGGCAACTGAAGACAGTGTGTGGGTGTCTCAGGGATTGGTGTCTTCCTGTTCCCTGATACTATGAAACAAGAATCAAGTAATCCGATATTGCACCCTGTTCTACCAAATGACATCACCCAATGATTTTATCCATAAAGGAACAAAGGCTGTGAAGATGTGGATGGGGAGTAACATCTCCACCTCAACCCAAGCAATAGGAAGGTTTTGGCCCACCTGGGTCTGGAGAGGGCTCATCATTTCTATTTGCCTGAAAGACAGACAAAAATCTAACCTTCTCCAGATGTTGCTGTCTACTGTGGGGAGAGAAGAACGGCTGATCCTTCTCCAATGACCCCTACTCCTACAACTTTCAAGTAAGCATAAGATTGGGTTGGGGGAGGTGACAGCCCCTGGGCATCAGCCAAACAAACGGTTGACAAAGGCAGAGGCAGAAAGGGGTCTTGGGGGGACAGTGGCCATTGGTTACCCTTCCACTGACTTCTCAGCAAGCAGCTACCAGGCAGAAGGACTGCCACCCTGGGTGTGCAGGGGAGTGACTTATGGGGATAAGGAAAGCCGAAGCATCCTTTGAAATTGTGGGAAGGGGAAGTTGAGAGTGTTCAAATCTGCAGCTGCATTAAAAACTCTGCGGACAAGGGCAGAAAGGGGGGATTTGACACCTCTCTCCCAGAGGAGATTTGCTTCCTCCCACCCTCCCCCTTTCCAATTTGATGCTGTCACTGCTCCTTGCCTCATCCGAAATACTGGCAGCCAAGCGCGGAGCCGGCGCTGTTTCTCCCCAGACTGACACACTGCAACCTGGAAGGGAGAGAAATCAGCGAGGCTTCCCTCCAGTGGGGGGGGGGATCCACTCCTCCCTAGAACAATTCCTCCGCTGTCTTCCAGCTCCATTTCTGCCACCCAGTCTGGCCTAGCTCGCTGGCTGCATCCTGCGAGGCTGTGGCCAGAGCTCCTGCATCTGCTTAAGCCCTGTGGCAGTCTGCCCGCTCAGGTGCTTCTCCCCCAGAAAATCCTGGGACAGGCTGCTCACCCTGCCCACCCTCCCTGCCTCCCCTGCCACTCTCCTTGGGTGGGATGCTCACAGCCTTTTGGAGTTGGAGTCCCAACTTGGCCGGGGGGGGGGGGGGGGGGGGGGGGAGAGGGAGAAGAAGCACAGAACTGGGCAATCCCTGCAGCCCAGTTGGGAGGCTGCCAGACAATGAGCAGCTGGGGGCCAACGTGCTGCAGTTGCCCAGGGGAAGCACCTGGCTGGATTGGGGTGGATGACACCTTGCCATCTCCAGGGCGATCCCACCGGCCAGATCTAAACACATCATGGGCTGGATTTGGCCCATGGGCCTTGGTTTGATACCCCTGCACTAGACTGACAAATGCAGTTTCCATTCCACATGTTGGTCTGATATCTAACTGAATGATATCAAGATAGTTTGCTCCATCCATGATTCTTTATAGCAGATGCACTATGATCTTATCCAAGATTACCCAAAGACAGAGACTGGAGATGGAGCAAATGTTGTTAAACAAGAATAACTCTTAAAAATGAAATAATTTGCATAATGCTCCCCATATTTTTCCTATCAAGGTGTGAGTGCTATACCAATCTAAGTCATCTCTCTAATATATTAGAATAAGATATTCATTATTTAAAAACAAACCAAAATTATTTATCTTGAATGATGCAACAAAGCTTTACTGGTTGCCTAGTGCAGATCCTATTAAGTATCAAACCAAATTACAGAAATCTGACAATTTTTTTATTTCAGAAAAATATACATTTGATTGATCTGAGTACACATCCAACATGCTTGCCTGTTTCCCCTTTTCTTAATCCTGACTATTAATAGGAGGATCTACTGCCAGATACTTCCTTACCTACTTGCCTTTTGAGTTTAGGAGTTGGGTTATGAATCTTTGTAGCCAGAACAGGAACTTCACTGTGATGACATAGCAGACATTCTAAATCAATGTCAAAGGATGCCATTTAATATTTTTCCTAATGTGAAGCAGAATATGAAACACTAGTTGCCTATTCATCAAAGCACACTTTTGTTCAAATAAATTTAAATTTCCTATTTGTTATTTAAATGAACTCATCTGTTTAAGCCAACTGCTTGTGAATCATTCTGTACATTAAACTGACTGCCAAGTTTATGAATAGAATTCTTAGGAAAGAAAGGATGGATGGATGGATGGATGGATGGATGGTTGGATGGGAGGGAGGGAGGGAGGGAGGGAGGGAGGGAAGGAAGGAAGGAAGGAAGGAAGGAAGGAAGGAAGGAAGGAAGGAAGACCTTTTGCTGAGCTCATTGAAAACTGGTTCATAATTGACAAGTAAACATACGAATCCAGTTCTGCTAGATTAGACATAAGATGTCTAGTGCATGGGTATCAAACTCGATCACGTCACATGACGTATCTCAACATATTGTGACTTTTTTGCCTTTGCAGAGCCAAGGTGGGTGTGGTCTACCCACACCCTGATGCATCTGGCCCATGGGCCGCCAGTTTAATACCCCTGGTCTAGTGTTATCTCTGCATGAGAGCTTCTCTCAGTCAAGAACAGATAATAGTTGGTCAAGTAGACACATCGGACTAGAGTAATCTGAAAAGGCAGAATAGTAGGACTACAAAAGAGGGAGATATCAATGAATGGGAAATGTAAATCTCTAGATCAGAGGGCTTCAAACTTGGCAACTTTAAGACTTGTTTACTTCAACTCAGCTGACTGGAGAATTCTGGGAATTGAAGTCCACAAGTCTTAAAGCTTCCAAGTTTGAAGACCTCTGTTCTAGGTAGTATATATTATTAATTTCTAATGTGGTTTTTGTTATATGGCATAAATTTAGTTTTCCTTCCATTGACATACCCTATAATTACAGTCATTGCCACTAGGAAGAGGACTTGAACCTTTTATCCCAAATGGGCACATTCATACAAACAAACGAACAGAAAGTAAAAAGGAGGATCACTTACATATAACGGGTAGGAAATATCCCTTCCAAGTACCAGCATTGCTTTTTGGCTTCTGAATACTGAAAAGAAAGAAAAAAATATAGCATTGTTCATCAGATGCCAGCATGAATCATTATAAACATAAAGGATATTACAATTTCATTTATCAGAAATTCTAATGAAGTAAAAAAAAATAATCTATTTGGGGGGGTGTTTCCAACTTGATAACATCTAGATGTGATTGAAATATAATTTCCAGAAATTCTTACATTTTGCATGTGAATGAAAATAATTTTAAATAATTTCTAGAATAATAAAAATTACCAGTTTGGGAAAGGATTAAACATTATCTCTGAACCATTTCTTTCACAACTTTCTTCAGAGCTCTTGCCATTAATAGAGAAACAAAGAGATGGCAAGGATCTTTTTTCCCTATATCTATTTTGCCCCCAGGAATCCTAGACAAATCATAACCTTTTATCACAAACTCTAAACATATGCAAACATTTGCAGTGAAATTCTCCACCTTCATTTGAAGGAAATCTTCCTACTATGCCAAGTTAAGTTTACCTGCTAGTATGTTGTTTCTGATCATAACATTAATCTTGAAGTAAATCTGATTGAACCAACTACAGAATTTCTGACAGTCCAATTACATCAGACCTTCATCATCTACACAGGTGGCCAATTTAGTTGCAGGCATTAGGGAAAGAATCAATCCAGTAGAAAGGAGTATGACTGGTGGAGAAGTGCAAAATTTTAGAAGGAAGTGTTCTCTTACTTGACTTCTTTTAGTTTTTGGACATAATTTCTTCCCGTTTTATATAATAGACTTTTCCAGGAATGCTGGACAAGAACTCCCAGCCAGCGTTTCTAAATTGTTATCTAACATATCTGACAGGCCTTAGACTGACAAAGGGTATATTTAATACAGATGGATTATTACCCTTATTCACTGTTGCTTTGCATTGATTCAGAACTTTCTGTATCCCGAATTACTCTACCCAATATTTCTATGGCAACGTTTCCAGCTGTCTGGAATTGGGATATCATGTGTTTGTTTAAAGTAAGGCTTTTTTTTTAGTTTGCTCATTCTGTTGGTATTCCTCTTCTTTCCACACAATGTAAATATAAACAAGCTACATGTAAGACTGTAAAATGGAAGCTGTCTTTGCAAGTTTGAACAGATTTAATTCTCAGCTGAATATCACACTGAACAGTTACTCTAGAAGGATATTGGCGGAATTACAAGTTTTGTCCACTGGGTCCTATCTCCTCTACGCTTTTGACAAGGGACAAATAAGATTAAATTCATAGCACAGTATAAGCATCAGTGTAAATTATTTCAATGTTCTGAAACGTTCTGTTGCAATACACTTAGGAATTGAATCCAAGTTTGGGTTTAAAACAATAAAACATTTCTCTGAGTAATAGCAAATATCAATGTTAATATTACTATTATAACTGTATTATTATATTTTTATAAAATTATAAATTTTACTTTTTTAATCATACAGAATTTTCACTTGCTGTAGATAGTTAGTGTTGGAAGAAATATCCATCTGGTTCAGTTCCAAACTGGGAGAAAGATGCTGGAAACAACATGGAGGCTGATTGGAATGAGAGGTTTATTGATGAAGCAGAACCACCAACTACATATGATTCAGGGACAGCTGACAAAATGGAGTTGAGAGTGGGTGGGTTTTTATACCTTCTTTTGGCTTTGTATTTGAGCTTCCTGTTCCTGTGCAAGAACATGTCCTTTAATATTCTATTGGCTGTTGTCAGATTCCTATGGGATCATGTGGGGGTTATGTAGATGTCATAGCTGGCTCTATAGGCAAAAGAAGAAATGCAAATCCTAGGTGCTTGTCTGAGCTAATCTGGTCAACCTCTGTCTTATTGTTTATCTGAGCTCCCAGGTTTCTGTGACTTTGAAGTTTGGACTGCTGTGGGTGTGGTGCAATGAAGGGGCTTGTGTTCTGAAAGAATGTTGGGCAATTCCTATTGTGGCTAATGGCTTTCGTCCAGTTTGATCTTGGGTGAGAGGCTGCTTTCTAATCCTACCATTCTGCCAAAGAGTTTTGAAATATCCTGTCTTGAATGGATTTTTGCCTGCAGTATTTGCTTTGCTTATGAATAGAGCTATATAAATACTTGTCTTCCTCTTTCAATAAGCTCTTTATCTCTTAAGTGCTGGCATATGTTGTGGACTATTAAGAAAGACTTGGGGGATGCTTTCTGTCTTTAAAAGCATGTTTCTCCATTTCTCTTTTAGGGAAATATAATATTCTGCCCTTTTAGTATTTCCCAAAATATTTCATTCTTCCAGGAGCGGGGGGGTTCCCACGATAGTGTACAGTTTGCATAAATTAGCAAAACTAGTCACCTCACCTAATTGTGTGTGTAACTTCTGAATTATCTTAGAATTTCTACTTAAGCACAAACCATAAGGCTTTCTACATTTAGCAAATACATAGAACTAATCAATTACTTTAGCAAGTAGTAATAGTCTATTTTAAGTTGGCAAATGAAAATCTATATTCTTCTTTCTAGGATTTTCAAAATTTATTTGGAATGATCCTTATGCACACTTTTGGGGAAACAAGAAAATTTATTATTTTCTTCTCAAACCAATTAGAAAACCCAGGGATTGTGAAAAGTATCCAAGATATAATATAATTAGATTGCATATATGTTGACAACAGAATTATAACACATTTGATCAGTATTTCTTAGTGTCCTTCATTGTTCAGATAGCTAATATCAATTATATTGTTTTAGTAAGAATTAATGCAGGTTAATAGGAATTAATGCTGGATAGAATTTCAATAGAATATATTGCAATGTTTGGGTCTTAATTTTTTCAGAAAGGAGTAGTATCAATTTGAGTTGCAAAAGATGAAAACTGTCATTGATAGATAGCAAATATATTTCTGTTTTAGAGCAACTGTATTAGAACTAGCATAATGCCTTTCTCACTCTTCCAGAATAAAAAGTATTTGTATTTACTAGATAAGCTAAAAGGTATTGCCTTCTGAATTGACAATATTTAAAAAATGGCAGATATTTCAAAATGAAGGAAACTACAGGAAAAAACTTCCTGTAATTTGCTTCATTTTTAATTTAAAATAAAGACAATCCACAAGTTAGAGATACATGAAATTATTGTAAAGGTAAAGATTTCTCCTGTCCACTGGTGTCTGACTCTAGGGCGGGTGTTGGCAACCAGTGGTTCCCGAGTTGCATGCAGCTCTTTGACCCCTCTTCTGCGGCTCCCTGCCGACCCGGTCACATGACCTGCTGTCTACCCTGAGACATTGGTCCAACCTGGCCATGGCTGACACCAACCTTGCTAACATGAGAGCTGGTGGGGTGGGAATGGAATCTGGGAAGAAGGTACAACGGAAAGGGAGACAGGCCTGCAGCTGAAGAACAAGCATGAGCCGTGGCGGCGTCTTGGCCGAAGAAGACCCCCCTCCTCCTCATGCGACCCTCTGGCCAGCTGTTGCAGGGTCAGAAGGGTGTGCATGAACGGGGATACCCTCCTCAAGTGTGTAGCTGGGCTTGTCCAAAGCGCAACAAAGGTGCGCAGGTTGACCAGCTGACAGGCGAGCGTCTTTGGCAAGGGCGCTCTGGCTTTCTCCAAGCCTGATCCCCGGGGTGGGCATGCAAGGTTCGGCGAGACCAGCCCCCTTTTCCACTGCCCTGAGCTTCTTTACTCCTCCAGCAATTGATTGAAAAGCATTCCCCATGTGAGATTTAAAGCCGCCCAGAGGACACTTTTCAATCAACGACGCCACCGGCACCACTCCACTCCCATGGGGGTATCCCCACTTATGAGTGCCCTCCCGGCCCTGCAACAGCCGGCCAGGGCATCACATGAGAAGGAGGAGGGTTGTCTTCAGTGAAGCCGCCGCCACGGCTTGTGCTTGCTCCTCAGCCAGCCCGGATTTCCAAAAAGTTGCCAGGAAGAAAGAAAAGGAGTAGCAAAGAGTCCCAAGGAGAGTTCACCGGGCCGGGCCGGCCTCAGCTTTCTGAGAGACAAAGAAGAGACAGACAGACAGACAGAGGGGGGCAGGAGAGAGAGAGAAAAATGACAAAATGATGGAGGGAAAGAGAGGAAAAAGAGAGAGTTGAGTTGGCCATGCCCACCCAGGTTTTATGGCTCCCAGTGTTTTCTTTTCTGTGGGAAACAGGTCCAAATGGCTCTTTGAGTGTTTAAGGTTGCAGACCCCTGCTCTAAGGTATATGTGTGCTCAGCGCTGTTTTTTATCTGAGGGAGCCAGTGTTGTCTGAAGACATTTCTGTGGTCATGTGGCCAGCATGACTATATGTCGAGATGCATAGAACGCTGTTATCTTTCCATCAAAGTGGTACCTATTTATCTACTCGCATTTGCATGCTTTCAAACTGCTAGGTAGGCAAGAGCTTGGGCAAGTAATGGGAGCTCACCCCATTGTGCAGCACTTGTGTCTCAAACCCAGGCTGTCAGCTTCCCAGTTGACAAGCTCAGTGTATTTAACTACTGAGCCACTGTGCCAACCTTGAAATTACTGTACTTTGTTTTTTATTTATCACAATAAGACATCACATTGCTTAAGAGCTTTACCCTCACACACATCTAGTGCAGAACAGGCATATATTACAAATAAATTTTGTTAATATACAGTTCCCAAGTCAGTTGATTTCTCTGACTCAGGACAGTTACTATTAAAAGAAAATGGAATCCCACTGTTCAAGACCTTGAACAGCAGCATAGTAAAAAGGACTTACCTGCCTGAAAAATTTAATTTTTCAAATCTCATAAGTATATCAGTCTCATATCAGGTTGCTACTGGCACATGTATTTGTTGGGCAGATAAACATAATACTCCCTAGTTATGGGTGGTCATAATCCTGTGCTGAATTCTTTAACATAGAACAAACCCCTGAAACCTCAAATCACAATGCAGTTCCTATTGACTTAATAACTTATTGATTTCTTGTCTTAACAACCATCATCCCCAACCATATCCACAAATACCTTCATTTTTATGTAGCAAAAACTGTTTTTATTTATCAAGAAACTTTGATATGA